TTTTAAAGAGATGGGATCTTATTATGTTGCCCAGGATGAATTTGAAATCCTGGGCTTAAGGGATCCTCCTACCTCAGGCTCTGGAGTAGCTGGGATTACAGACATGTGCTACCACAGCTTGCTCTCTCAGTAATTCTATTCCTGCTAGTTTTTTCCCTTGCAAGTAAGGTGGGTTATATTTACCTGTGAAAGAAACTCAGAAATACTCACTTTTCCAGGACAGCTGGGGTGAAGAGAATATGTAGTGGCCACTGTACTTTGTAGGAAAGACCTAGGGCTGCCCAGCCAGATGCAGGGGCTTCCCGGGGAGAAGTTTCCCGAGAAGGACCTTCTCTTGCCTGAGTAGCATCTGCTATGATAAAGAAAAGAAAAAAAGAAAAGATAACGACTTGGTAAATCAAGAATCAGAGACTCAGCAAGTGAATAACATTCACGAAATGAGTTTGCAAGCAGTTCAAGACCAGCCTGAGCAATAGAGTGAGACCCTGTCTCTACTAAAAATAAAAAATTAGCTGGGTGTGGTGGTGTGTGCACCTGTAGTCCCAGCTACTCAGGGTGCTGAGGCACAAGAATTGTTTGAACCTGGAAGGCAGAGGTTGCAGTGAGCCAAAAATGCACCATTATACTCCAGCCTGGGCGACAGAGCTAGACTCCATCTCCAAAAGAAAAGAAACGAGAGCTCGCTGGAGTCTGCGATGTCAGAAGCTTACAGGTGACACAAAAAAGAGGGCAAGGAAACTTCTTTGTGAGGTTTTCTTGGGAGGTCTTCTAGAGATTCTTTCCTCAGCCTTAAAATCTGGAGGCTGGAAATAAATAAAACAGGGACCATTCTAGCAGCATGACCAAAAACAAATCCCCAACGCCCCCAAAACATGGCCTGGGTATCTCACATAGCCTTTCTGGACTTCCCTTTTCTTCTGTATAAAACTATAGTACTGTACTAGCTGAGTTCTAAGATCCAAAATTATATGGTTTCTATGGCAGGGGCTGGAAGCAGAGATGGGAAAATGGGTATGACCAGTAGGAACTCTAAGGTGGCAGGGAGGAATGGCAAACCTTTGTGCTCCTTTCCGTGATACTCAATTGTCAAGTGCAACAGAGGGAGAAGGTTGTCATCATCTAGCAATACCTTGTGTGCTGACTGCTGAAAGGCCACATTCACATCTGCAAGAAAGAACACGCGGGCTGACAAGGACGCCTGCCTATAGAACAAGCCCAGACTCCTGCAGCTTTCCACTTCCTCCCCAGCATGCCCAACACTAACAGTGGGACACAGTGGACATCTGTTGCATTTGCCTAACATCCGTCCATCCTTCTCTTCCTGCTGGTAACAAACTGCCTCCTGATTTTCCTCGGAGAATCATCCCTACTCAGTACAGTTCACGTATTTCCAGTGGGTTAGTGTTAGACAACACCCGATTCTAGGGGTAGCCAAGTGATGTAGGCATGATCAAGTGGAATGTAATACTCTACTTTGTTATGCTATATTGTTTAGGGATAGTAACACAACCACGCCAGGCCAATCCAGAGGCTCTATTCAGACTCTTAGTACAGCTCTTTCTTCAAGATAAACAGGGGCTTAATAGAATGTAACTTGGCTAGACTATCTTGCTACCATACAGAGCAGGCCTGTCTGAGAAGGAAGAGGTGAAAGATGGAAAGATACCAAGTCCTAAAGGTGCCACACTTGTCACTGGATCAAGCTTTGCCAAAAACCATCACACTGCTGAGCTTTTCAGTTATGAGAATCAATACATTCCTTCTTTCCTTTTGCTTTAAGTGAGTATGAACTGGATTTTCTGATATTTGCAACCACAAGTACTTTTATTTGTAGTATGTAAGTACCGTGGACATCTAAGGTTTTACTGAGCTAGAAAAAAAATCAGCCTGTGTGTATGTATTTTCTTTCTCCCATTTTAGTTTTTTCGATCCTTACCCAACTCTATTCATGCAGTTTGAATAGGAATGGCCATGAGTTGGTCAAGGGGTGGCCACTTCACTCAACTAGGCATAGCCTAGTGTTCTGACCTCTTTGACTGATATAAGAATAGGCATGTCATGTGGGCTGGGCCAATCAAAACCTAGAGAATTCTGTAGAATTCTCTAACTTGCAACAAGAGGGATCAGGTTTGGTTCCTTTAGAAGAGGACACTGTGAGGCATGTTCCTGGGAGCTGCTGGTGGTCATGTTTCCAGAAGGTCAAAGAGTTCACAAGAGACATATACAAGATATGAATGAGAGACGGGGGTCGGGGGAGAGAGGGAGAGAGAGAATGAATATGAATCCAAGTTGTCCCACTGGAGTTTTAGATACAATAGCAAATCAATTTCCCTTTCCTAACTAGGCTAGCTCGGGTGACGTTTCCATCATTCACACTTAAAGAATTCTACTACAACACTACTAGAGGCGCTGAGTCCCAATATGCCCCATAAAATATATGTGGCTGTAGTCCAATGAGAAAAAAATACCTGGTTTGAAGGTCTGTACCAACTCTTCCAGGAAGGGTCATGGACCAAGACACTGTTCCCAATGACCCCAGCATGAAGCCTACCTGCAAAAGGGCCTTCCATCTCGGGAAGCCACTGCTCTGTAACTCACCAGCCTGCTCTTATGTGGAGCAAGCCTTAAAAGGGTCAGGAGCAGCCAAGAAATACCCTGCAATGTCAATCAGTTGATCATTCTCAGGGCCACAATTACCATGCTCAGTTACTGCAGTGGGCGGTGTTTTTAACATGTGTTGAGCTGTGTCAATGAAGGCCTGAAACAGTTCTCCACGTCCCAGAAGGTAAAAGTCTTTAATGATCTGAGGAAAGAATTTTAACTTACAATTCAGTAAAGCAAGACAGGAGCTCCTCACTGTCCTGAGGAATTACAAGTATACAGTAATTTCCAATTTCATCAACTTGAGCCCAAACTACAAAAGGATATAGGCATTGGACATTTCAAAGAAGTATATTAAGTTCCACATAGCAGGATGACTGGTGTCTATTTGGCCTTATTTATTCAATAGCAACATAATTATATTATGCCAGAAAAAGTACACTCCCAAATCTTTGTATGACAGTAGATTTGTAACATTAGGTATAGTTTGCTCACTTGGATAAGAACAAATGAGTTGACTCTGGAAGTCTGGGTATAGGCAACCAGTGTTCTCAGAAAACGTCAGGGAATGGAAGTCACTGCCTACCGGCATCATTGTAAGAATTACAACAGCTCAGCCATTACCTTCAGCTGACCCAGTAAATCGGACTCTTCTACCATCAACTTCCAGAGATGCTGTGAAAACAACCACCAAACAGAGACAAATTTCATTACAGTGAGAACTCCTGCCAAGAATGGTTCCATACAAATCCAGCAATGTATTAAAAGAAGAATATATACCTTGCCCCACATAGAAAAATTTACCCAAAAGGATCATTGTGTTATTCTGTTCTTGCACCATTGTAAAGAAATACCTGAGACTGGGTAATTATAAAGAAAAGAGGTTTAGTTGGCTCATAGTTCTGCAGGCTGTACAGGAAGCATAGTGGCTTCTGCTTGGCTTCTGGGTAGGCCTCAGGAAACTTACAATCATGGCAGAAGGCAAAGGGATCTCACATGGCAGGAGTAGGAGCAAGAGAGAGCAAGCGGGAAAAAAAAGTTTTTGTATTTCTTTTTTTTTTTTTTTTTTTTTTTTTTTTTTTTTTTTTTTTTTTTTTTTTTTTTTTTTTTTTTTTTTTTTTTTTTTTTTTTTTTTTTTTTTTTTTTGAGACGGAGTTTCACTCATGTTGCCCAGGCTGGAGTGCAATGGCGCAATCTGGGCTCACCGCAACCTCCACCTCCTGGGTTCAGGCAATTCTCCTGCCTCAGCCTCCTGAGTAGCTGGGATTACAGGCACGCACCACCACGCCCAGCTAATTTTTTGTATTTTTAGTAGAGACGGGGTTTCACCATGTTGACCAGGATGGTCTCGATCTCTTGACCTCGTGATCCACCCGCCTCGGCCTCCCAAAGTGCTGGGATTACAGGCTTGAGTCACCGCGCCTGGCCTTTTTTTTTAAAAATTTTTAATTTTTTAATTTTTTTAAATTGCTACCTCAAATGTTTTACTTGGTATGCTGGAAACATTTAAATAACCAGATCTCACAAGTACTTACTATCATAAGGACAGTACCAAGGGGAATGGTGCTAAATCATTCATGAAAAACTGTCCCACGATCGAATCACCTCCCACTAAGCCCCACCTCGCCCCATCTCCAACACTGGGGATTACAATTCATGATGTTTTGGCAGAGACATAGATCCAAGATATCAATCACAGACCTGAGTATAAAATTGAAAACTATAAAATTTCGGCAAGAAAACAGAAGAGAAAAATCTTTGTTACCTTTAGTTAGGCAGAGTTCCTAGACATAACACCAAAAACATGATCCATAAAAGGAAAAAAAAAAAAGGTAAACTGGATTTCATCAAAATTAACAACTTTTAGGACAAGTCATAAATTGTGAGAAAATATTTGTCACTTATCTGTTAAAGAACTTAAATCCAGAATATATAAAAGACTCTTAAAATCCAACAATAAGAAAACAAAAACCCAATACAAAATGGGCAAAGAGGCACATGAAAAAATGTTCAACCTCATTAGTCATTGCATGCAAATGAAAAGACAATGGAGAAGCCACCCAAACATCTATCAACAGATGAATGGATCAACACACTGGTATAAACAACAGAAAACTACTAAGCAATATAAAGGAATAAACCATTGATAAATGCAACATAGGTTCATCTCAAAACAATTATGCTGAGTAAAAGAAGCCTAGTCTCTTCCTCCAAAAGAGTCCATACTGCATGATTCCATTTTTATCAACTCTAGAAAATGCAGACTAACCTAGACTGACAGGGAGTAGATGAGATCAGTGGATGCTTGGGGACAGGGAGGGTAGCAAGGGTGGGATGAAAGTACATGGAAAGGTTGCAAATAAAGGATGGAAAAAGACATCAGGTAAATATGATCTGAAAGGAAGCTGGATAGTGATCTTAGTAACTAATAAAATAGAATCAAAGTAAAGAATATATTAGGCTGGGTGTGGTGGCTGACACCTGTAATCCCAGCACTTTCGGAGGCCGAGGCAGGCGGATCACTTGAACTCAGGAGCTCGGGATCATTCTGGGCAACATGGCGAAACCCCATCTCTTCTAAAAATACAAAACTTAGCCAGGTGTGGTGGCACATGCCTTTAACTCCAACTACTCAGGAAGCTTAGATAGGAGAATTGCCTGAACCTGGTTGTTGCAGTGACCCCAGATCATGCCATTGTACTCAGCCTGGGTGACAGGCTGTCTCAAAAAAAAAAAAAATTATATATATGTATCAATTATATAATATCTATATATATCTCATAGGTGATACAGAGGACATTATGTATAAATAAAAGGAAAAACAATAAATATATATTTATTATAAATATGCACATGCTTCACATATATCCTAAAAATGTGCAATTAGAACATACACTCAGGCCAAGTATTTGAGACCAGCCTGAACAATATGGTGAAACCCCGCCTCTACTAAAAATACAAAAAATAGCTGGGGGTGGTGGCATGCACCTGCAGTCCCAGCTACTCAGGAGGCTGAGGCAGAATAACTGCTTGAACCCAGGAAGCGGAGGCTGCAGTGAGCTGAGATCGTGCCACTGCACTCCAGCCTGGGCAATAGAGCGAGACTCTGTCTGGGAAAAAAAAAAAAAAAAAAGCAAAGAAAAAAAGAACATACGCTCTAGACAGAATATATATTCTCCAGGCATACGCAGGACAGTTAAAAACAAAAACCAGACCCTGTATTAGTCCATTAAAAAACATGCAACCAATTCCAAAGAATAAGTATCATATAGACTTTGTTCTCCAACTATAATGCAATAAAATTAAAACAAATTCCTTCGTTAAAAAATCATAAAATTAATTAGGATTATATAAAACATAGAACACTACATGCCAAAAACTTGTGAGACACAGTCAAAATAATATGTAAAGTTTTATATATATTTCTCAGAAAACACAGGTTAAAAATAAAGAAGTCAAGCCTTTCAACCTGGGAAAGAGTAACTTAAAAAAAAAAACACGAAGGAAGAAAATAAAAAGGCAGATATCAATGAAATAGAGAATTCAAAAAAATTATCTATATCTTTTATTTTGTTTTTTTGAGATGGAGTCTTGCTCTATTGCCCAGGCTGGAGTGCAGTGGAGCCATCTCAGCTCACTGCAACCTCTGCCTCCCAGGTTCAAGAAATTCTCCTGCCTCAGCCTCCCCAGTAGCTGGGACTATAGGCACCACCACACCTGGCTAATTTTTGTAGTTTATTTTAGTAGAGACAAGGTTTCACCATGTTGGCCAGGCTGGTCTTGAACTCCTGACCTCAAGTGATCTGCCTGCCTTGGTCCCCCCAAAGTGCTGGAATTACAGGCATGAGCCACTGTGTCTCACCCAAAAATATATATTTAAAAAATAAAATTGGCCAGGTGCAGTGGTTCACACCTGCAATTCCAGCACTTTGGGATGCTGAGGCCAGCAGATCACCTGGGGTCAGGAGTTCAAGACCAGCCTGGCCAACATGGTGAAACCCCATCTCCATTAAAATACAAAAATTAGCTGGCCAAGATGCCAGGTACCTGTAATTCCAGCTACTTGGGAGGCTGAGATGGGAGAATCACTTGAATCCAGGAGAAGGTGGCTGCAGTGAACTGAGACTGCGCCACTGCATTCCAGCCTCGGTGACTAAGTGAAACTCTGTCTCACAAAAAATAAAAATAAAATAAATAAAATAAAAAGCCTGGTGGGCACAGTGGCAGACGCCTAGAGGCCCAGTTACTTGGGAGGCTGAGGCAGAAGTTTCACTTGAGTCTAGGAATTCTGGGCTGTAGCGTGCTATACCAATCATGTGTCCATAATAAATTCGGCATCAATATGGTGACCATGTGGGAGCAGAGGACCACCAGGTTGCCTAAGAATGGGTGATGAACTGGCCCAGGTCAGAAATGAAGCAGGTCAAAACCGCAGTGCTGGGGTATGGTGGCTCACATCTGTAATCCCAGCACTTTAGGAGGCTGAGGCGGGATGACTGCTTGAGGCCAAGAGTTCTAGACCAGCCTGGGCCACATACTGAGACTCCATCTCTACAAAAAATTTTAAAAATTAGCGGGGCATGGTGTTTTGCCCTTGTCCTAGCTACTCAGGAGGCTGAGGCAGGAGGATTGCTTTACCTTAAAAGTTCAAGATTACAGTGAGCTATGATCACACCATTCCACTCCAGCCTGGAAGATAGAACAAGACCCAATCTTTGGGGAAAAAAAAAGAAAAAAGAAAATGAAAGGCCAGGTGCTGTGGCTCATGCCTATAATCCTTGCACTTTGGGAGACTTAGGTAGAAGAGAGGGTTGCTTGAGCCCAGGAATTGGAGGCTGCAGTGAGTGATAATTACACCACTGCACTCTAGCCTGGGTAAGAGAGTAAGAAGAGTAAGACCCTGTCTCAAAAAAACAAAAAAAAACAAAAACAAAAACAAAAAATGAATGAGCCAGCCATGGTGCACTGTGGTGTGCACCTCTAGTCCCAGCTACTTGGGAGGCTCAGATGGGAAAATCGATTGAGGCCACAGGTCGAGCTGCAGTGACCTGTGATTGCACCTCTGCTCTCCAGCCTGAGTGACAGAGCAGGCAGCTGTCTCTAAAAATTTTTTTTAAATTAAAGAAAAGGCCAGGCCCAGTGGCTACACCTGTTATCCCAGCACTCTGAGATGCTGAGGTGGGTGGATCATTTGAGGTCAGGAGTTCGAGACCACCCTGGCCAAAATGGTGAAACCCCAACTCTTCTAAAAATACAAAAATTAGCTGGGTGTTGTGGTACATGTCTGTAATCCCAGCTACTCAGGAGGCTGAGATGGGAGAATCCCTTGAACCCAGGAGGTGGAGGTTGCAGTGAGCCAAGATCATGTCACTGCACTCTAACCTGGGCCACAGTGAGACTCTGTCTCTCTCACACACACACACACACATACACACACACACACACACACACAGAGAGAGAGAGAGAGAGAAAAGTATAAAAAAAGCTTGTTCTTTGAAAATAGTAAGACAACAATAAAAATAAATTCTAAATAAATAAAACAAATGACTACAGTCAGATTTTCAAAAAAATGAAATCTAGATGAAGTAAGTTAATTCCTAGAAAATACCAAAATTAGTACAAGAAATAATTGTTTTATGTCAATAGGTTTTAAATACACTCAACTAGTTAAGTCT